TGATATTCTCCTCTGTTGGAAGTCAGGTAATTCAAGGATTTGCGCATATATCGTGATTTGGGAAGTGAATTATTTGCAAGCGGCGACGTCCACAGTCTCTAACGGAAGCCTTTTTGCATACATATATATTAATCTACTTAGAATGGGCTCCAACAGTTGTTATTTTATGGTCTAGTCGAATGTGTCACTACCGAAAAGCCGGTACGATTCTGGAACTTCTAATTTACACTTCCTCTCCTAGGTAACTATTTTACTGACAGTTTTTAAAAATGAACGGTGCATAGCAGCAAAAAGCATGTCAAATTGTCTGGATTGCGTGGTATTTGCAATGGCTCCTGTAATGCATGTTGTGCAAAAAGCCATAACTGTAGATAACGCTGAAGTTTTTCTTTGGACACATTTAAGAAGTGAAAGTGTCTTGACCCGCGGAATCACTTATCTTTTAATCCGTAAGTAACAGTTTGCCTAGCCTCGCATCACTGAGCATCCCATTGTGAATCTGCATCACTAGTTGGAGACGAAAAATATTTGCTAAACGCGTATCTGACCAAAGATGTGTCACAGCAGGTCAGCTGCAGTAATTTATCAACTGTTCTTGAAAAAAAAAACACTCAAATCATACTCCAGGGAAAGTTGAATATTATATATTTTCTGCCGGTGAATGTATTTACTTGCACTAATTAAAACTCACCTGTCTGGCAAACACTTTTCTTTGGGATGTGGATACTGGTCAATATTTTTCAGTTTCTGTAAGTTTTCCTATTTGTAAACCAAAATTTATCGGGTTGCCAAATTATGGAAAAACTTTTAAGTGATATAAGAGGTAAAACCTGAGTACAGACAGCGTTCTAACCATTTCGGTTATGATGCTTTTACCTAGAGTCCCGATTTAGTATACTGTCGTGAAAGTTGCCATTCCAGGTGAGTGCATAACAAAAAAATTAAATAATCAAATTCTGGAAGTTCGAGATTAACGTGACTGATATGTGATTGTCTCATACACCTCCCCAATTTGTTGCTAGTTTGGTTGTCACTTTTGTCCTTGTCGAATGAGTATGCAGGGGTTTATATGCTCATCCCAAAAAAGGTATGCTTCCAACCAGTGTACTTAGTCAACATTGCTAGGTCTCAGCTGTTGCAACTTTGAAATTCAACTGTTCAAATTTGAAATGAATGTCATCATTAGATTTAGCGACGATATTCATGTAAGGATTTAATAAGTCAATTTTTATGAACGTACTTTTTAGATTATGCGTCGTCAGGCATTAACAATACTATATCGAAGAGCATAATGACAAACGTTTACGCACTTAGTAAACAGTTAATATGCGGGAGAGGGTTACGGGTGTTCACAGATTGTGGGATTATAGTCTAGTCCTATCTGGGACTGATGGAGGTGGGGCTGGGAACTGTCTGATATTTAGTTTTTATATCTACTTCTTTACTAGACCTCGGTGTGGTAGTAGGTGTGAACAAAGTGTTGACTTCGTTGCACTCAGAGAAGCATAAGAGCTTACACAAACACCCTCTCTACGTACAACATTTTACACGTCTGACGGTGAACAATCGAAAATGTGCGTTTGTCAACCTTGTTTTCTTAAACGTACCCTTGTTAACAGGAATGCCTTTATTTGCGTAATTAGCGTGTTTGCAGAAACATAGCCGTTCATGTTGCTGTAGGTTATTTAATTCCAGACACTTGTTGGGTAGGCCAGAGGGACTCACATAATTAAATTACTCTCAGATATTCATATAGGAGTCTGTGTCCCGAACTATTAATTTCTCTTTCGTACGCTGTCTTCTAGGACAAATAATTCAAGCTACCATGAGAGCTACCTGCTCTTCGATATCACCTACGGGGATTGTCAAAACGAAACCCTACCAACCAATCCCTACAAGGCCATCTATGATGTGTACACCTATATCACCCTCGTCCTCTCTCCCCTCAACGTCGTTCTAAATGGATTCTCTCTGAGGATTTTTACGCACCGAGCATGGAAAAACAGCACAATGAGTTGTATCCTCAAAACCCTGTCTATATTCGAAACCTGCTTTGGTCTCTGTCTTCTGCTGCACACACTGTCGCACAGTCTACTAGAAAACTACGTGTCAGGCTCCGATGGAAATGAGTGGCTAGCCTCAGTTTTTACTATCTCAACCCAACGGAGGATTGGCATTTTCCTAATGGCTTTCCATCCCATCCTCAGCGGTGCCCTGTTTGCGTTTCAAATCGCACGCAACTGGTCCGTAGTGTTGTTGGCAGCCTATCGTTACGATTCTGTGTGTCGGAGCATCGGTCGGGTCTCCGCTTTCTCTCGCGTCTCAATCTGCGTCATAATGAGCCTCGTTCTGGCGGCTGCATTTCTCATCGCGCTGCCACGGGTGTTTGAAACACGCGCCTTTTTCTGTTATTCCAATGCTCAGATCTACAACGAGGAGTACCTGCTGGCAGCCAGCCGAGTATACCAAATGGTTTTCATCGGGATTATCACCTTCATCGTGCAGTCCGGTGGTCCGGTCATTTGTGTCTGTGTGCTGAGTTTCTTCGTCGTCCGACAAATTTCTTTGCGACGCAAATACCGTCGGCGAAACCAATCCGCCCTCTACCACCACGTCTCGGCAGCCCTGAAGGACCCATCGGATGCTGCGAATGCGAATCGAAGTACGCCGGCAAGACCGGTTGAACGATGTCAGCCATCTGGAGATAAACTCATTCTTGCCCTCTGTTTCACATTCTTCATACTGGAGACGCCGGCATTTTTCAGTAAGATTCTTAATGCCTATCTGAGAAATAATTTTCCGCTGCATGACGTCTATCTGTCCGTCATTGCAAATCTTCTAATTTATCTGGACTCAACATTCAACGTGTTCGTCTACATGGCCTCAAATCCCACCTTCCGTCAGGTTACCCGTCTGGTGATGGGCGGAAACCGCATTTGCTTCGTCCTTCACCTGAAACCACTGTTGCCCAAACTCTCAAGCACGAAATCCAATGCTAGGACCTCCATGGACACTGGCGTAGCGGATTCGAGAACCCGGAATTATCCCACGGAGCTCACAACAGTAGATTCTACCTTAAATCTGCCGGCTGTTGACAACCCCCAATAAAAACACACTCTCCAACACAACCAATTGCATGTACGAATCAAACCTAAAAACCTAAAGAATTTCTACTTTTACGATATTTCTGATAAAGATCTTTACTTCAAAAAACCTCGTTGTTTCCCACCATGGGTGACTTTCCTGGCTGAACAGAATGAGTGGGTTATAAGTGTAGAAAAATAATGCTTCTGCGAATTAAGTTACTTAGATTATGCACACAGGTTTTTTTCAATTATTTTTTTGGCTTATGACCCGGCTAAGATGTTATTCTTTACCGTCGCGATTACTCCATAAATTAGTATGCTTAACGTATTGCTCATCAATATTTACCTGGCAAAAATCGCAAAATATATACAATCTTGTGCCTTTTCTGTAGCATTTTACCCAAGGATTTATTGGTCATAAAAACGTGGTAGTAAATTAAATTGCCGAAGAGCCTGTTGCTTCGAAAGGGGGTCTTTATATCTTTGAATGTGTTACGGTAAGTAGCTAATGAAAAAAATATGATTGTCAAGCAGCAGCTCATGTCAAATATTATGCAGTTCTTAATCGATAGGTTGTTCTTTCTAAAAGTTAACTTAAATAACTGATTTCATTAATTATTTATGCATTATCGAATGTCTATTATGTACTTTGAGAATATGTTCTTTAGAACAGGCATCAACTGCATCAGAGAGGTAACCATATCCTTTTTAACATTTCAAAGCGAAGTTTTAATTACAAGGCATGCAACCATGTACTTGGACATTGGACTAACTGGACGGAGAAGAGCACTTAAATAACCTGAAGAAACCTGGGGCTAAGTACCAATCAATTAAAGTCCGTATGGAAGGAAGTGTAAACCTTTACACTTTATGAAAGCGTCTAAGAAGAAAACTTTCAACAAAAATCAAACGGGCTTTCTCGTTGGTAATAAACGTTACCGTTGAACGACCAAATAAATGTCTGCGCTTGTGACCACAATATTAGCGGTAGTCATTTTAAATGGTCGGACGCGTTGAAAGTGATGCGTATATGCCTTTGAGACAGATATGCTTTCTGGTAGTATCCTTCCAAAATCTTCACTGAATTCTTCCGCTGGTCATTCTGTAAAAAACTGGGCACAAAAAACCACATAATACCGGAAGATCACAGCCTGTGCATAATGCTAAATGATTGCAACTATCAACATCATTAAGATTCGACCTGGAACGAGTAGTAAAATATAGGTCACATTGGACCTCCTTCAAATGTGTGCTAGCGTCTTATGGTGACGATCTCATTATTGCAGTTCAAATGATTAAAGAGGGTCGAGACTACGTATATAGTGTGCGCAATAGGTCAAGCGATGTATATGTGAGAATACTTGCACACGCATGGAGAACATAATAACGGTGACATGATTTTAAAAATCCTCCAACTAATTAAGGTTTCTAATGAATCTTTTAAGACTACCATTTTCGGGCAGATAGCATCGTATGCATCTATTTGATTCTATACGTTATTCGGCAACATTCTTAACATTCACTGCAATTTTTCACTAATAATATCTGGTATGCGCTTAGTGGTTTGAGGAATATAAGGTTTACTTACCCGAATGACTAAAAACCCTGAATGTAAACATATTTCCAACTCGGGCTAAAACATATTTTATCCAACCTAAATATATTCTGCCCTTGAACCGAATCTCTGAAGATTATATCATTTGCTACCAAATTAATACGAGGAATTTAAACGTTGGTTGGGTTTTTCGTATCATTTATGTGAATTTCAAGCGGCATCAACAACCCATGTTACCAAGCGCTACTTCTAAAGTACACACTTTTCTCTAGTGCAAGACGAAAAAAAGTACACACACAAATGCAACATTTGACCGGGTCTGAAATGTCATTAATTTTGCCGACTTCTGTTTGATAGTACATCCCACCCGTGTCACATTTCTTAATCAATAACGCATTTTGGGAACACTGTTGACATTTTGCGAGATCAGCCACGGACTCTTTATACCTCCTTCAAGGACGAAATGCGAAGAAGGCGCGGGTGGCTGCCGACTACTTAAAGGAAGGAATATCTAAGGGCATATTTTAAAGTATATTACCATTTTTATGGAGTTCGTAAACCATATAATTAATTGTTAGCCGTCTGCACATAATTGGCTGAAGAGTCATATGAAAAAAGAGCGGCATAAAGATGAGCAGCATCAGCCAGAGTGTTCATTCTCTGAAGATAGGTAGACGAGACAAATACCCTGAATTTAAAGATAGCTATAACAGCAAGATTTATTGGATCCATGGCATATCGAAAGAGCTCTGCCTCTCACTGCTTTACGTGAATCACATGAAAGAAAATACGAATTGAATTCATACAGAAAAAGCTCTATAAACACAAGGTCATAAGAAGTGGCCAAGTGGCTAATCAATAACATAAGAAGTTTAAACGTCATGGTCAGCAAAAAAACGGGTTAAAAACGTCTGAGGTAACAATGTGGGATAGTAAATGTGTAAACAGGGAGCTAATGTTACCAAGGCAGAGTTAGGTTCACTAAATGCTCCAACTGTTTATATAGGTGGGGTTTGAACCACCGTATGTAGGCTGCTTCCAGGTAGCGTAAGGTGCGACTTGTTCGTGCTCGAACAAGTACTTGGGAAGACGTTTTGGTGTCAGCAGAATGGCCCGAGTGTAGTAGATGTTCCGTAATTGATGACCGGGGAATCCTGTTTTCTTGTTTCATTAACCAGCTAGGTAAATGTTCCTTAGCTCTGGTGG